ATATTAATTTTTTAGATAAAATTCTTTTGAATTTTTTCAATAAATTATTGTGGGAATTTAATTTAATTCTAAATTCTAATTTTGGGTTCCTAAGTGGTTTCCTAAAATTTGTAATTGTGGGAATTTAATTTAATTCTAAATTTAAATTTTAGGTTCCTAAGAAGTTTCCTAAAATTTGTACCTCTTCATTTATTTATTTAACTATTTCTATAGTTTAATATATATATATATATATTCAATTAGTTTAATATATATATATATATTTGAAATAGTTTAAATAATGAATTACCTACAGTTCTTTGACTTGGTCCTCCGTGGACAACTTTTCAAATTTGTTTGAATTTAAGGGTCCTTGTACCAACGGTCAGAATAGTTTGAAATTAACTATTGCACCTGTTCTTTCAAAGTGCATCTGTTCATTCAAATTGTCCATACCTGTTCGGGTCTTTTGTTTTGCCTATATATACAATCAATTTGCAGCAGTCCAGGCGATCCGGAAAAAATTGAGTCTGAAATTTTGTCCTTTTGCTGTCCATTTCTTTTTAGTGCATTATTCTTCATATATAATTTTAGGAATAAATATTCAGAGAGTTAGAACACAGGTTTGGTTCGCCGAACAATTTGTTTTGGAGTGCTACTACAAATTGGTTAAGATCATTGTATCCTGGGAGATAGACGCCACTCAACCGTAAGCACCGTAGCGGGGCGAATCTGTCTTAAGGACAGAGTGTCACAAACTCGACTTGGTCTTTTGATTTTAATTCGGTTCGATAAATAAATTCGGTATGTTATTTATTTATTTTGTTTGAATTAGTTTCAATTTATTTTATTTACACAGATGATTGTTCATTGGGAGAGAGTGCACTATACAACTAACCTTCACTCTGTCTAAGAACCCTCAAAATGGAAAGGAACCGGTTGAGAACGTCTACTCATCGTAAGTGAAGTGCTTGACCAGGTTATCTGTGTCAAATAATATATCCTGAGAAAATTACAGTGCTAATTCCACCATAAACTGCAACAGAGGTGGAACCAAGTAGGAAGAACATCTGCACAACAGCATAAGACCAACCACGTCAAGTACAAAACCAATAAGCATAGACATGTTTTCATATAATTTACTGTGAATATTGAAAATCTGCGTGGCAATATAACTTCAAAAGAATATCAATTTAACCTGGATAAAACCAGCCAAGAAGAGAGTAAATAGAGAGGTGAACAAGATTGGATCGAGATAGCTGAAGTCTTTGTCCTTCTTAGACCATCTCCAATGGTTATTCAAAACTATTATCAAATTTAAATTTAATGAAGAATACCTTCTTTTCTTGTTCCAACGGTTTCATCAAATACATATTAAATTCAGAATTTCACTTTTCTTTCATCAAATTGGGAATCAATATGCATTTCATCAAATCACTGTTCATTAATGTTGGATTTTCACCACTGGATATCTTTCGGATGTCTCCCCGAACGACCACCTTTAAGGTAAAAATTTGTGAAAAAATTACACTGGCCGATCGACCAGTGGTTTGATAAAATTACAAAACCTTTCATTAAAGCACTTGATATCAAAGGGAGCTTTTATTCAAATTTAGTAAAAAAATTGATACACTTAGAAACCAGAAATGTACCTAGTCAGGGAGGCTACCACATCTGACGTCAATATTAGGGCTTCAAGCACAATTTTTCCTATAAAAAATCCCAATGCAAAAGGAAATCACACAATAGTTTTATGCAATCATCATGCAGTCAACATTTCACCCATTAAGATTTTAAGCAGTTTACAAGAAACTATTAGCCGTCTGTATTGGCACAGCTTACACCAACAGTGAGACTCAGACACAGGGTATAGGGTCCGAGGATAATCAAGTTCAGTGGATTCTTTTGCCGATACACATACATAGTCTTGTAAATTGATGATAATAAAATAAAATAAATATAGATTAAAAAATGAGGGGGCAAGTACTAAATTTCTCAAAAAAATCTTGGAGCGATGAGCCTATGTAATCTTGGAGGGTGGCCACTACCAGCAGCCAGCCCCTCGGTCCATCCCTGTCTATATGTATGAGAGAATACATATCATGAAAACGAAATAGCAAAAAGATAAAGAGCTGTTGGAAAATCCAGGATTGTTTGTTTGTTTGTGATTAGATTCGTTTGGTGAAGAGGCCAAGAGCAGTTGAATAAAAAACAATTTTATATTTTTGGGGGTTCTACAATAGCAGTAGCTCCCCACAATTGAGGAGCAACTGGAACAGTTCAACTGCCTACAATAGGGGCCCTTTTTAGGGAAGCTGATGGCGTTGGTTTTATGGGGTGAGACTCTCCAAAATATCTACAAGGTAGAGGATTGGAGATGCTCCAAGAATTAATTCAATCATTAAGTTTCCAACTACTTAATTTTATTTTTTTTAATTTTTAGCATACATTTCAACAGTCAATTTTGTAAGTGACACTGATGGTGGTTGTCAAACAAATTTATTTAATTTTCACTTAATATGTTAAGTTTTAAGTTTTGAATTAAGTTATCAAACACTAGCTAGATCTATATGAAGTTTGTTGTCCATTGACTGCACTTAGGGTCCCTCTTTGTTGAACAGGCACATAAACGATTGAAGCAACAGTCTTTCCGTGATTCTCCACCTGATCTGTCAAGGTTCAGTACCTTGCCAGTAGAGTTGAAACTCTAGAGTACTTTTCTTCTGAAGAATTGCATTCAAGGTTCAGTGCCTTGCCAATAGAGTTGAAACTTCAAATTCTAGAGTACATTCCTTTTGAAGAATTGTATCCATGGTTCAGTGCCTTGCCAATAGAGTTGAAACTCCAAATGCTAGAGTACTTTTCTTTTGAAGACGCAGCAAGAACAGGCATCTTGTCAAGTACAAGTAATTGGTCTGAACATCCACAACTCATACTTGACAAACGCCTCTTTGAAGAGCGCGGCCGATGGATTGAACCAGATGCAATTGCATGGATGCAGAATGTTGCCGAAATTCTCAATAATCATCCTAAAGGTCCCATTCGAAAGTTTATTCTCCACATTCCGGACATGGAATTTAACTGGGACCGATATATAAATATCTGGATACCATTCCTGTGGAGCAATGGTATCAAGGAACTTTCCATGGATAATTGGAATATTATTACATATAAGTTTCTCCTTTTCTCTGAGTGTTATGAATTGACACGATTAAAGCTCTGTAATTGTGCATTCCACAAATCATTTGGAAGCTTTCAGAATCTCCGATTCCTTCATCTTGATAAAATAGCATTTGGTTCCGACACAGTTGGTGATATTACACTCAGTACCCCATCGCTTGTGCGGCGGAGCTTGTAGATTGCACGGGCTTTCGATATTTGAATATTCATGCTCCAGTACTCAACAATTTTGTTTTTACCAGTAGTGATGGAATGAGTCGTGAAGATGAGAGTCAGGTGAGGTTAAAGCTGGCTCATTTTGAGAAGTGGGACTACATTCTCAACTTTTAACCCACTTCCTCTTATAACAAAATGTCAAAGAATAAAAAAAATCAAAAAGTCAACTTTTAATCATCTTTTCTAAACATCTTTGCTCGTTTAGAAATTTTTTTGGGTCCCCGAAGTCAAAGGACTGGAAGGTGAACCACCTTGAACTATGGACAATGATATATGTCAATTTTTGATTTGTTACATGTTTAATTGTGTGAAATTTATCTCTCTTGTCACATCACTATAATAAATTTAAGAATTCAATTTATGAGTATATGGCACTACTCATTTCTTTTCTCAAAACGTTTCCAATGCTGGAAGCTTTTTGTAAGGATGGCTATCACTTGGGTTTTGTTTGTGGCAACTGAGGATGAATGCAATGTACTTGAAACTCTATGATTTGAACTTTTATTCTTATTGTATTGTAATTGTGTGAAATTTATCTGAGGTGATGTGACTTGAATAAGTCAATAAGTTGGCTTTTTTTTCTTCTTCTCGTTTTGGGTCTGTTATATTCGTTTTGTAAAATGTTTAAGATCCAAAGTTTTTTTTCTCATAATTTAATTCACAATGATATAGTATGATACATGTCAATTTTGGATTTGTCACATATTTGATTGTGTGGAATTTATCTCTCGTCACATTACTATGGATAAATTTAAGAACTCAATTTACTAGTACGTAGCACTACTCATTTCTTTTCTCCAAACGTTTCCAATGCTGGAAGCTTTTTTTAAGGATGGGTATCACTTGGGTTTTGTTTGTGGCAACTGAGGATGAATGCAATGTACTTGAAACTCGAGGATTTGTAGTTTTATTCTTATTATATTGGAGAATAATGATTATCTTCTTCTTAATTTTGTTTTTTCAATTTCACCTCTATGTCATTAGAGGTGGAATTGAAGGCACAACATTAGAAGATATAGCACCACTAATCTTGGTAAATTAAATTCCTTATTTATGTTTTTCCCTATGTTTGGATTGTATCTTGAATTTGTGAATGAATTTATAGGAGAGAAAAGAAAAAGGGAGGGATTTGTGGGGAAAAGAAATTTAAAACTAATTTCTATTTAGGGTTGGTTTTGGACCACCTAAATAAGCATTTTATTTGTTTATTTGTTACAAATTATCACATCACCTCTAAATTTTTTACATATTTTTTCGTAAAAAGTTAATAAACTAAAAAATAAGTAAATCTTAAAACACACCTAAATTGAGTTGGTAGGCCTTAAAGATTATAACCTCTATGTTTTTAGATCAACTCCTAGTGAAGCCAATGCTCTTGTTTTTTACCCCGTGATAAGAAATGGTATTTATATACAAAATGATATGACTGAGTCTTATTATTTTAAAATAAAATATTAATTTAAATGACATTTAATTACATAAATATTAATATCAAATTGGATGCTTGGGCAATAAATCTAATTTTAATTTTTTTGGGTCAAAGGTCCAAGTGTTAATTTAGGGAGCTTCTATTTGCACACACCATTTTCGTTCTCCCCACACACTTAATGATATTTGTTTTATTACATTTTTGTCCTAGAATAAAATTATCAAAATATCCCTTTCTTCTTCAACCAAAACCCTAACCCTAATCACCCCCTCCATCGCCTCTCCCACCCCCTTCATCACCTCCTCCACTAGCCTCCATCTTCTTGAATCAAAGCCCCCTCCCCACCTCATTGCTCGTTGCTCACACTCCCTAGTCTCTCTTTTCTCCCGTCGAAGCCCGCTCCCTACCATCTGTAACTCTTTCTCTTTTTGCAGCCGCCAAGTGAATCGCCGCCGCCGCCGCCTCCACTTTTTTGCCCCTTCGAACCAAACACATTAATTCAGAAGTACAGTGTCGAACCAATGTGTTTTGTTCGAATGTTGATGGTCAAATTGATGTGTGATTTTCGACCTTGGTTTAATGAACGGTGGGTGTATCGCGATGGTGGATCGCCGCTGCAATGGTGGTTGGTTTAGGGTTAGGGTTTGGAGAATGAAAAAGGTAAGGGAATGTGGGTAGATTGAGTATGTTGGAAAGCTGTGTGTGTATGCTTTAGATATAGGGATATAATTGGAATAATAGTATATGTAATGAGTAAATATATATATATTTATATATATATATTGGTGTATCAATTAAGAAGAATGTGTATAGAAAGGAAGTGGTGTATGCAAATAGAAGCTCCTGTTAATTTATTATGGCTATAAGGACAAGACACTACAAAATGGCCAAAATACCCCTATATATAAAATAAGCAAACACTTATCTGTTGAAAACAAATTTCTCAAAACCCTCTCGCTCTCTCTCTCTCTCTCTCTCTTTTCCTCGCATCTATCTCTTACTCTCATCACAACATATACCACCGCCTCCATCTCTATTGCAACGGCAGGGACAGAGACAGTGGTGAGGTTTGATAGATCTAGTTGGAGACTCTTCTGATGGCTCCGAAATCGTCCATAAAAGCACTGCCTCACGCTCCGCCAATCTTTTCTCCTAAGGCTTCGCAACCTATTCCACTTACTGCTTTGGACATAACTCCCACCGTCACCGCCATGACTCTAAAGTTCATATCCAATTAATGGTAAATATGATGTTAAAAATAAATTATTAACAAGAATGTATTCCGATCAAGGGGCTACCGATATCTAATCAACATGATTTTTTGCAGGCATGAAGTAATTAACAAGCTGTACACATTGAACGGTTCAGATTATCGAAACGGGACCTATGGTGGGTTCCACGGGTCCAACAGTACACTCCAGTTCACATAGTGGACTGAAGGGAAATCTTTCCCTTTAAACATATAACTACCAATATCTGATTATTTTAATTTTTTATATTAACATTTTACTTAACAAGTATTAAAAAATATACTGTTCGGATTATCGAGATCGGCCCCGAACTGGGCCCCACTAAATCCAAACGCTCTCTCAAATTGAGATAACTAATTGGAGAGAATCCAAACCCGTATTCGTTTGATTAGAAAGAAATAAATTATGGAAAGTGAAAATGGTAAAAAGTAAAGTGAAAGAAAAGAAAAGGAAAATAAAATATCTTTTCTCGTATGAATTTGATTATGATGAAAATTTTGTAAGAAAATAGGAATTCTAATTATAAGTAACTACTTTTACAACAAATTTAAACTTTGTTGCATTTTCATGTGTTTTTCGCAAAAAATTGGAAGCTTAGTTACCATACTATTATGAGTTGTACAAGAAAATTAATTTTCTTATAATTTCCACCACTTTCATAGTAAATAAATTTAGAAAAAATTTGATAGCGTTTGGTAGAGTTTTAGAATTATGATTTGAGAATAGAGTTGTATTTTGAATTTGTGAGTTTTGGAATTGTGATTTGAGTGTGAAAAATTTGTTTGGTTATGAGTTTTGAAAAGAGATTTGAAAAGAGTTTTGAATTGAGTTTGGATTGAGTGATGTGACATATGATATTTGATTAAAAAACTTACAATGCATAACCAAACACACAATCCAAAATTCTATTCAAAGTTCATAAAAAAATTTTAAAAAAATCTGAAAATGTTTTTTATTTAAAATATAAAAATAACAGGTGCCTAAAAAAAAACCGAACACTGTTCCGGTCAACCGGCCGGACGTCCGGGAGGATGACCGAGTGTAGACACCCCATTTTTGACCGTCCTCAAGACTTGGACGTCACCGTTTGAACACTCGGTGATTATCTATGTTTGTGTTTGTTTGGAGTTCCCGGAAGTCCTGGCTCGCGCGTCCTGCCTCAGGATCTCCGAACTCGACCGTTTAGTGTCTGGTTTCATACCGAACACTTGTGCTTTGCCTTGGAAGGGCAGGGAATGCCTTGTAAGGCATCCCCACACACCACCGGCAGTGGCCAGAGGCCACCGGCTGGTCTTTTTCTGCCACCGGCACTATTTTTTTGCCGGCCGGCACATTTTTTTGCCGGTCGGCATAGTTTGTTGCCGGTCGACACTCTTTTTTTTCGAAATAACTTTTTTGGGCAGCTGACCACTGTTCATCTACTTTATGGAGATATTTTGTGCTAGCTGTGATAGCTGGCACCAACTCTGCCTCCCTCCACTAAGCAAGCTTGTTGTATAAGCTTTGCAAGAGGGAGTCTTATAAGAGGAAGGGCCTTCCTCTTTGATCTAGGTTAGAAAGTTAGAAGCAAAAACCAGAGCTTAGAGTTGTTAAAGCTCCAAACTTCCTCTACAAGCTTGACATCCCATCCCACCACGTGACTCACTTGTGAGTTGTAACTTGTATCACATGACTTTTATTTGTTTTTTAGTTTTTTTTATTCACAGATATTTGTTTGTATCATTGGATGAGGTGGGGTCCAATCTTTGAAATGGGAGGGAAAGAAGACCAGAGGTGAATACAAAAAAGGGGGGCCACTGTTAAGAGATTACATAAAAAATATATATTTAACATATATATATGTATGATTTTTGTTGATCTTCTTCTTCTTCTTCTGCTGTAGATTGCCACCTCTTCGGATAGAGAGAGAGTGGGGCTGGAAGCATATTCAGTGGCGGAGGGAAGGGGGGGTCGGGGGGGTCCCGGCCCCTGCAAAGTCAACAAAAATCATACATATATATATATGTTAAATATATATTTTTTATGTAATCTCTTAACAGTGGCCCCCTTGTTTGTATTCACCTTTGGTCTTCTTTCCCTCCCATTTCAAAGATTGGGCTCCACCTCATCCAATGATACAAACAAATATCTGTGAATAAAAAAAACTAAAAAATAAATAAAAGTCATGTGATACAAGTTACAACTCACAAGTGAGTCACGTGGTGGGATGGGATGTCAAGCTTGTAGAGGAAGTTTGGAGCTTTAACAAACAAGCAAACATCTCAGATTAGAGCAGTTCAAAAAAATAAAAATAAAAAAATAAAGCTCTCATTTGAAATGGTTTTCTCTTCTTTTTTTTTTCTGTTATGAACTAGGAGAACCAATAACTCTTAACGGCAAAACCCACCTTTTAGAAAGCAATTGACAAAGAAAGGTAACATTCAATAACTCATGAACTCATTTTGTTTTTATTAATTTATTTTAAAATTAAAATATTTAGTTAATAAATAGAGAATGAGATATTCATTTTTATTTTGGTTTTTTCCTTATGATTAGTAGAGAAGATGACTCCCAGCTTTTGGACATGTTCTCACTTATCACTATCATCATTATTTCTCCTTTTTTTCTCAATAGAAGGTAAGTCTCCCTGTTTTTATGTTTGTTAATTTTAATCTGTTTATATAAATTGTATATTTTATGTTTGAATTTATTTAATGTTTTGTATATTGTTAAAGATGATATGTGCTTGTAATATAAATAAAATTTGAAGTTATCAAAAGTTTAAATTCATAAAAAAAAATAATGTATAAATAAAATTTTCAGGTTATCAGAAGCTTAAATGTGTTCATGTCATGGGGAAACTAAAAACAATTGATACATTCTTTAAAAGAAAAAAATTCAACATCTGATGTGCCTAACTTGAACTCTAATATTGAGACTTCATTCCTTGATCAACATCCTTCAAAAAATCCACGAGTTGAATGTTAAGATGTAGACACTTCTTCCTTAGAGCGTGATCCTGGGATACGTCCTCAAATATGGGATTATCCAACTAATCAACAAGATGAAACTCGAAGGGCTTATATCAAGGCAGGACCATATCAGTTTATTCTTTCAAAATATCCTCCGTTTGGGTCTATAAATCATTCTCGTCGATTTCAATCATCTTGGTTCAATATATTTCATTGGTTAGAGTACTCTCCTTCAAAAGATGCTGCATATTGCCTACCATGCTATCTTTTTAGTAAAAAACCAACTGGTCGGCTTAGAGCTAATGCATTCACTATTGATGGATTTCGAAATTGGAAGAAAGTGAATGATGGAATTAATTGTGCCTTTCTATGCCATATGCGTAAGGATCCATGTTCAACTCAATAATGCCGTGAAATGTTGTGATATTTTGATGAAACAATCCCAACATATTGATAAGGTTATGGATAGGCAATCTTCTGAACAGATTATGAATAATCGTTTGCGACTAAAGGCGTCAATAGACAGTGTTTGTTGGCTAACTTCTCAAGGTTGTGCTTTTAGAGGCCATGATGAACGTCCCAATTCAAAAAATCGAGGTAACTTTCTTGAGTTGATAAAGTTTTTAGCCACATACAATGAAAAAGTTGCTGATGCTGTCTTCAATGCCCCTAAAAATGCCAAATATATTTCGCCAACCATCCAAAAAGAAATCTTACATATTTTATCAAGTATGGTGCGAAATAAGATTCGTGAAGAACTTGGGGATTCGAAGTTTTGCATAATTGTAGATGAAGCTCGAGATGAGTCCAAAAAGGAGCAAATGGTTATTGTTTTGAGATTTGTTGACCAAGATGGTTTTGTAAGGGAGCGTTTCTTCGGTCTTATACATGTTAAAGATACTACTTCCTTGACTCTTAAGTTGGAAATAGCTAATGTCCTTTGTAGAAATAGTCTTGATGTTCAAAACATTCGTGGACAAGGATATGATGATGCTAGTAATATGCGTGGCGAGTGGAATGGATTACAAGCTTTATTTCTAAATGAATGCCCCTATGCATATTATGTACATTGTTGGGCTCATCGACTACAATTAGCACTAGTTGCGGCATCAAGAGAGGTAATCCCAGTTCATAAGTTCTTTTCTAAGTTAACTTTCATTGTTAATATTGTTGGTGCATCTTGCAAGCGTAATGATGAACTACATGAAGCTCAAGCTACTGAAATTGCACACTTGATTTCCATTGATGAACTTGAGATTGGAAGAGGGGAAAATCAAATTGGCACTTTGCAACGAGCTGGAGATACTAGATGGAGCTCACATTTTAAATCAATATGTAGTTTAATAAAGATGTTTGGGGCAACTTGTATAGTTCTTAAAGACGTAATCAAGGATGGATCCACTTATTCTCAACGTGGGGATGCCGATGCAGCGTACGATATGATTTCATCCTTTGAGTTTGTTTTTATTATGCATTTAATGAGGGAAATTACGGGTAGAACTGATATTCTTTGTCAAGCTTTGCAGCAAAAAACCCAAGACATCTCAAATGCTATGCATTTAGTTGCAACTACAAAAGCACTTATTCAAAAGTTGAGAGAAGATGGTTGGGACAGTCTCGTTGGGGAAGTAAAATTATTTTGTGAACGATATGAGATTGAAATACCTAACATGAGTGCTCGATACAGTGCAAGTCGAGGTCCACCTCGTATTCAACAAAATCACATAATAATCGAGTATCACTATCGAATAGATATCTTTATTGTTGCAATCGACTCTCAGTTACAGGAACTAAATCATCGGTTTAGTGAGCAAGCAATGGAGCTCCTTAATCTTAGCTCAAGTTTGGATCCTAAGAGTGCATATAATTCATTAAAAATTGATGATATTTGCACTCTTGTTGAGAAATTCTATCCTCAAGATTTCACAGAGCAAGAAAGAATTCATTTGAAATTTCAGTTGCAACACTTTGAGCTTGATGTGCCTCATCATCCGGATTTACAAAATCTCCCCACAATTTCTGAACTATGCCGGGGGTTAGTTGAAACGGGAAAGTCAAAAACTTACCATTTGGTTCATAGATTGATTCTTCTCATATTGACACTTCCTGTTTCAACCGCTACTACAGAAAGGGCATTTTCAGCAATGAATATTGTAAAAACTAGCCTTCGCCACAAAATGGAAAATGAATTTCTTACAGATTGTTTGGTTGTTTACATTGAGAAAGAAATCGCATAAAATTTTAGCTCAGAAATGATTATAGATGATTTCTATTCTCTAAAGCATCGTCGAGCACAACTTTGATAGGAAATTATGTGCCTTTTTGTTAGTTTTACAGTAAAAGAGACAAGATATAGTCATTTTGTAACACACTTTTTGTTATATCATGGTGTTAATATATAAAGAATTTTAATCTTTGTTGCTTCATAAATGGTTATAGCTAGTGGATATTTATTTATTTATTTATTATTTAAGTCCACATTTATAATATTAATTTGGCCCCCCCCAATTAAGAAATCCTACCTCCGCCCCTGACTGTTGATGCATTGTTTTTTTCTCTGCCTGTAGGTAATTCAACTGAAAACCTGTGTTACATGGACTCGCCACTTTGGGGTGAAGTACCCGTGTCGACACGACACGACACGAGTGCGGGTGTGGGATTTGTGTCGGATTCGCCTGTTCTCTCTCGGACACGGCTCTTCACAGACAACAAAAGAAATGAAAGAGGAGAGAGCAAGAGAGAACCTAGTCGAAGCTCCATCTAGTCGAAGATCAAAGACCTCCAGTCGAAGCTCTATCCGGTTGGTCCAGTCGAAGATCGAAGCTCCATCAGTCGATCGAAGCTCCATCCGGTCTCTCTCTCTCGCCTTCTCTCTCTCCCTCACGATCGCTTCGCCTTTTCTCCCTCTCCCTCTCTCTGTCATTTTATCGTCTTCTCTTCCTGACTTTGTATTGGTATCTATCTATTATCATATATCATATAATAATTATTATATAACATATAATAATATATAATAATAATAATAATAGTTAATAACTATAATAATAACTATTATTATTATATATTAAATAATAATTATTATATAACATATAATAATATATAATAATAATTCTTAAGTTGGAAATAGCTAATGTCCTTTGTAGAAATAGTCTTGATGTTCAAAACATTCGTGGACAAGGATATGATGGTGCTAGTAATATGCGTGGCGAGTGGAATGGATTACAGGCTTTATTTCTAAATGAATGTCCCTATGCATATTATGTACATTGTTGGGCTCATTGACTACAATTAGCACTAGTTGCGGCATCAAGAGAGGTAATCCCAATTCATAAGTTCTTTTCTAAGTTAACTTTCATTGTTAATATTGTTGGTGCATCTTGCAAGCGTAATGATGAACTACATGAAGCTCAATCTACTAAAATTGCACACTTGATTTCCATTGATGAACTTGAGACTGGAAGAGGGGCAACTCAAATTAGCACTTTGCAACGAGCTGGAGATACTAGATGGAGCGCACATTTTAAATCAATATGTAGTTTAATAAAGATGTTTGGGGCAACTTGTATAGTTCTTAAAAACGTAGTCAAGGATAGATCCATTTATTCTCAACGTGGGGATGCCGATGCAGCGTATGATATGATTCCATCCTTTGAGTTTGTTTTTATTATGCATTTAATTAGGAAAATTATGGGTAGAACTGATATTCTTTGTCAAGCTTTGCAGCAAAAAACCCAAGACATCTCAAATGCTATGCATTTAGTTGCAACTACAAAAGCACTTATTCAAAAGTTGAGAGAAGATGGTTGGGACAGTCTCGTTGGGGAAGTAAAATTATTTTGTGAACGATATGAGATTGAAATACCTAACATGAGTGCTCGATACAGTGCAAGTCGAGGTCCACCTCGTATTCAACAAAATCACATAATAATCGAGTATCACTATCGAATAGATATCTTTATTGTTGCAATCGACTCTCAGTTACAGGAACTAAATCATCGGTTTAGTGAGCATACCCCACTTTTGCTTGCTATATCTGTTGCTATGTATATGACTGATGATATTGCCGAGCATTTTGAACAAAGTTCAAGTTGCAACTTTGATAAGTTTCTTGGTGGTGTACCATTCCTGGAGAGACTTATTGGACATATTTACCTCACCAAGGTAAGACTTTAAATTTCTTTTTTATTTATTTAGGTTCTATGGAAAACATAGTCTAGTGGTTACTCGTGGCCAAAGTGCTTTTTTTTGTTATTGTTTTTGTTAAGTATTTGAGTATAGGTAACGACCTAGGAAAACTTCCAGTTGTATATAACCATTTAAAAGTTATTGAATTGTGTCAAGTGAGTTTTAAGGACATGAAAGAGATACTGGTGGTTCTTCGTTTGATTGTGAACTCCCCCTGTTTACAAGAACTTCAAATCTCGGTGAGTAATCTTAACCTCATTAAATATTTTATATTTCAGATTACAATGGTCATTCACTTGTTCATTTCCTTGTATTGATTGATATAGGGTTCTTCAAATACATCAACTGCAACAGAAGCTCCTGATTTGGATTTTTGGGAGAAAGAATGCCCGTCTGATTGCACATTCAGTCTGCTTGAAACTGTGAAGATGACAGATATGTCTGGTGTGCCACATGAGATGGAATTCATCAAATTTTTACTTAGAAACTCACCAATGCTCGAGACAATGAGCATTACACCTAGTGTATATGTTACAGATGGAAGATTGAATATGTTGATTGAGTTGGTGAGGTTTCGAAGGGCTTCTGCACAAGCTGATATCATCTTCATAAAAGATTGATATGTAAAAACTGTTTTTCTTTCATGAAGTCTCTTTGTTTTGTGTTTGTTTTCCTTCTTTTGACAGATCATTGGGCTTCCATTTGTATTCTTCTTGGCCAAGTTGTTGCAAATGATGAAATAATATTAACAATAATATTTACAATCCATGCAAAGTCCTACAAAAAATCGTTTAGTTTATGTTGTCTTTTATTTATTTATTTATTTTTGGTCCCTTTGTTAACAATGAAACTCTTCCTTTGCTGCAATTTCCTATTTGCTGCTTAGAATACAGCACAACATTGGGAAGATTTGCAATGAATCATGTGATTCATCTATGATACTCTGAATGAAAATCCACAATTAAGCAGTTTTATATTTTGGTGTATATTAAATATAAATTTTAATCGTATCTTAGGTTGAGCAATATATTTGCAGCCTTCACATCTCTGTGAATAATCTTGGTGATCCAAAAGCTTTGCCAATCCAAAATCTCCCACCACAGCTTCATAGTAATCGGCAAGCAATATATTTGCAGCCTTCACATCTCTGTGAATAATCTTGGGATTGCACTGCTCGTGCAGGTATAGTAGACCCCTAGCAGCACCCAATGCAATTCTTTTCCTAGTACCCCAATCCAAGGTTGGTTTAGCTGCAATGCAAGACAGATAAGTATGAATCCAACGTTCCAGTACTAAAAACTGTTTGTTTGCTCAAGCGAAGATAGAGGGAAAAGTCAAGAATGGTTGAAACAAGAAAAGGCAATGGAGTATATGTTTAGGGCTTTTAAACAAACCAAGCTACTCTAGCTCAATTTGCATTCTGATCATTAAAAGCTTGAACACATTTTAAATCTCGTTTAGTTTTTAAACCAAGCTTGCACAATCTACCACTTGACTCGATTAACGAGCTGAATAGAAGTTGAGTTTGAGTAAAACTCAAACTCAACTTCTATTCAGCTCGTTAAAAACTCATTTGAGATTGACTCATTATGTAAACAAGTTAAACGTTAACACATTTTGAAACTCATTAAGTTTTCAAACCAAATTTGAACAACCTAGTACTAAGATTGACTCGGCTCGTCTACATGTTTCCCCAAAGCATGTGTCATTGGTCAAGCCCACATACAACAAATGAACCATGCAGACCGCCTTAAAGTACATTTCTTATCAAGCAACGGGTAGAATCCTTTGCAAAAGTATAATGTTGTCATTGTGAAGCAATTTGCAACATTTAGATGGTTAATTGTTTTTTAGCAACCTATGTATGATTAGAATAGCAATGATGAATTTTTTTTTTCACCTTTGAGACACGAAGCAACGCTCCCATTGGACATGTAGGGGTACACCAGAAGCCTTTCGCTTGATGTCATACAAAACCCATAAAGCCTAAGGAGATTACGGTGCACTGCTAGGCTGATCATCTCGGCTTCAGTCTGAAATTGAATCTCCCCTCCAACGGCATTTCCATCTTTGAGCCTTTTCACAGCTACAACTGTCCCGTCTTGGAGATACCCTTTGTACACATTTCCGAAACCACCCTTCCCAATTATGCTCTTGCTGCTGAAATTTTTTGTTGCACTCTGAAGTTCTCTGAATTGGAACCTCTTCAAGTTTCCAAGGCATACTTGTTCATGAAGTTGTTCTGAAAATTTTCAAAAACAGTTTGTTTTTATTAATGTAGCAAACTTTTATAACCTAGGATTTTTCTCAAACCTGATCAATCCTTTTTTACTGACCGTTTGCATCAAAGAATATTTGCTGGTTGTGTTTTTGCCTCCACCAGAGAAGAAAGGCAGATGCAGCCAAGGCTTGATCCAAATGCTAAGGCAAATTTGTGACCTTTAGGCCTCCCCGAAGGTTGAGAGCCTTGTGGAGCAAAGAGACCAACAGATCAGACTAAGGTAAATGCAAAATTTAAAAAAAATATATTAAAAATTAAAACCGTGTAATATTGAAGGTGCTAACTAATCGAAAGAAACTATTGACAAGGGGGCAGTTTTGAATTTATAATTTCTTACTTTGTGCATTATTCAAGGGGTATGAAAGCAGCATTGCTGTTGTTCCATTGCAGTCTTTCTCTGTCCCGGTTGCGCATATCATTGGGTTTCCCATAAGGCTATGCACATGAAAGAAAATAGTTTTTTTATAAAAAAAACAGACTATCTTCGTGTTTCATTTTCCTGATTGGTAGGTTAAAAAAATGTAGGAGGGTAAGAATCAAAGAACTTACTTGAATGTTTTAGCAAGAAACCTTGGTACAGGACCATTCAAATTATTGTACGACAAGTCCCTGGAACATATTATACAAAGCCCACTTAGACCTTTCTCGAATCCAAACCTCTTCGTTTCTTTCTTTCTCTCTTTTTATGGGTTTCAATTCAATGGAGAAAGGATCTAAGGAGACTTACAGAGATGCAAGTTGGGTCATATTAGCCAATGAGAAAGGAATTGATCCAGAAAGACTGTTATTGTTTAGCCTCCTGATCACAATTCAATAAGATTTTCAGAAAAAGAAATTCACTAAAACATAATTTTATCCATGTATGTAAATATTTTGTTTTGTTTTGTTTTGTTTTGTTTTTTATGCTTAAAGGTATTGAAGGCTTTTCAGATGGGCTAGAGAAGATGGAATTTCACCGATGAAGAAATTGCTAGAAAGATCGAGTGTTTGTAGTTTTGGAAGCCTCCCAAGTTCAGTGGGAATTGGCCCTGATATGTTGTTATTCTGCAACAACCTGTAAAATACCTTATAATCAAATCATTTCAATTGAAATTTCAAAACATTGAACTCATTTTGTTTTCTTTTTTTTCTTTGTTTTGTACTCACACAATCTGGAGATTTGTCAAGTTCCCGATGCTAGGTGAAAGACTACCCAATAAGTTCTGGCTTGGAGTTCCTCTGCAGCTAAAAAAGAAAAAAGAAAAAACTTTCATTAATTGAATACATTTTCTTGGGTAATTCTCAATTTTCTTGTATTTGTGGAGTAGGACATTTTCAAGATTATTAAGAGATTGAAAAGAGTTGATAATATGTTTTATGTTTTGGAACTTACAAGCCAATGACTAGCTTATCAGCTGAACAAGTTACAATTGTCCAATTACATGGATCAACAGCATTAACATCCCAATTCTCTAAGACACCATGTGGATCATCTAATGAATCTCTTATACCCATCAAAGCTTGCACTGCAAATTCATTATAAAAAAAAAATTACAATTCAAATACTTAAAAACTTCATTTCACCACTTAAAGATGACACTGCAAAAAAAAAATAAATAAATAAATAAAAAAATAAAAAATCTCACTTACCTTCAAAGTTGACACCTTTGGGGAAAGCAAAGCATTTGCTGAAGCCCAGAAGCCAAAGAGAGCTACAAAGCACAAAACGGAATACCCTCTTCCATTGAATTTTACAGATTCAAAAACCAGTTTCAACTTCTTCAACAAAACCAATTTTCAAAAGGGGTTTTAATTAGTAGTATGTAATATATATGTGAAATTCACACTCTTCACATGGCAATAGTACTATATCTGTCTCCTCCTAAAGCTTCTGTGAGGCCCAACCAAAAGAACTAGTAGTAAGGTTTTTGGTAGCAAAGTGAGAGAGAACTAACATGGTTGCCACTTGTTCTGCAAAGTGAAGAGAAAGAATATAAATGTGAAAAGCTAAGCTAAACTAACCCATTCTCAGATAAATTCTAAAGATGATAGAAAATTCCTTTAATCATTCCTTGGTTTTAAAAATAATAAAAAAAATTTAAAAAAAAAAGTGGTGTTCTTTAGAATTTTCTATGCTATTATTCTCTTGAATTTAAAAAAGGAAAGTAACTCAAGTGATATCTGTGAAGCACTGTAACGTTTATTTATTAACTGATTCGATTAAAAATCTTGGCAAAAATCTGTAGTTCACTGCATATTCCCTCGGTTATGACACAATATGCTGGAATTTATAATTTACAATTCAATTATATTCTGTTTCACATTATGTGGTAACTTATATAATTATGTTATAATTTTAAATTATAATTTGATATATATTACAAGAAATTAAGGTTTTTGAAGCAAAAATTTAAAAACAAAGGATAAAATATTTTAGTTATCTAAAGTGTCATTGTTATATTTTTAATAATGAAGATGAATAAAGATAGAAATTAAATAAATACACTGGAAAAAAGAAAAAATTAAATAAAATTAAGAATAGAAGAATCAAATTAAAATCTAAAGATAAAAATTAGATAAAGATGAAAAAAATTAAAACTAGATGAAATGATGAGGGGAGTGGGTTGGAAGATAAACAAAAGAAAATGCCATATAATGTTTTAAATTTTAAAAATTATAGGAAATTAAGAATAAACTTATTTGATTGAGTGAATTGTGGTGATGGATATACATGAGTGGATTGTGGGAATGGGAATTGTGGGAGATGCTGATTTATTTATTTATTTTATATAATAACGTGATAGATATTGGATATTTATAATTTATATATATATATATATATATTTTAATTTATTGAAAATGAGAGTTGTGAGAGTTGTTTTATTTTATTTTATTTTATTTTTAAAATAACATGATAGAGTCAGAGATGTGATATGTGATATTTGTAGGTTTGTTGTGTGAATTGTGAATGATGGATATAGATGATTTTTTTATTATTTTATTTTTATTTTTTATTTTATACAGAAAGAGAGAGTGAGAAGGGAGATGAAGGGATGTGTTACATAATTTTTAATTTTTTTTTTTAAATTATGAGAATTTAAGAATGAAGTTTTGAAGCTTTTTGAAATTGCAATTATGAACCTAAATTTTTCTTCTTAATTGATATATGTAGTATATATCTAAACTGTACATCAGTCAAACTAGCTAGTATTTTGTTCTAATATAGAGGTAAAATTCGTTTCATTGCACTTTTCTTATTGTTATTATGCATAGCTAGCATGATTTTAAAATAAAATTATAGGTTGTAACTTATTTAATATAATGACATTTAATTTTGATTTATATCTTTATTTTTGATATTAAATGTGGATGGTAAGTTAGATTGTAACAAATTAAATCATTTAACTAATTTTACATTACTCTAGGTTAAAAATAAATATTTTTTTACAACGTGTACGTTATTTTTTTTAAATTTACCAAATCGACATACCCGTATCCGTGTTTTA